GGAGGTGGGATGCGCGGCAACAATGGAGGGCGTGCTCTGTTGCATGGGCGACGCGTCGACCCTCCACCGAACACCTGGCGCGCGTCGGTGTGGGTGAGGTGGGGAGCTGATTTGGGCCGCATCCGGGCCGAATCAGACCTTGGGCCAAAAATGAAGTTTGTTCACCTCGGCCTGCTCTATATTTTTCATTAAGGAACTCCAGTCATTTGAGCAACATAACAGTGGGTAATTAATCTCCAAGATAATAGCGTCAACGCGTTGACAGCGATTAACAAAAGTCCAAATTGATGGTCCAAACGAAGTCACACGGGTGCCATTTTTTACATGATCTTCTCCATCATGTACACTCCAACTTTTATTTTGGGGTCAAGTCAAGTTGCTTAACGAAAACACGAGAACGCGACATGCCAACGCCGATGACGATGAATTTCTGGCTTAGAATATTTCTAAGTCTGAAAACAGTCGTTGATTCAATCTTCGAGCCTCTGTTTGACCTATTTCCAAGCTGATCTGGCTCTTAGTCCAAAACAAAGTTTGCTCTACTCCACTCCAACTTCAACTTTGATTTTAGATGCAACTCCATGCAAGCACTGTAAGCCATATTTCAAACCAAGTCAAAGTAACATCACGGTAAAGCTTAAATTAGAGTTCTTAACCGATTGAGGCATTTTCTTGACCTTTGCTCAACACGAACCCTTCATGACTTTTGTTGTAGATTTCAATTAGAGTCATTTGGGTAAGGTAGCAAGGTTTGGTTGACGATCTATAATTCCATTCACTGAATAAAGCAATCCAAGAAAGATTATAACTTATCATTTCATGTGACTTTTTTATTCCAAACTTCACGAAGCTTTTCCAATCATCCATGTGGGTGGAAATTGATGTGAGGCACATGAAAGAAGCACCTTCAACATTACTTAGGTATATATCTAAAAAGGGCCAATATGCAAGCAAAGGCGTGTTGCTCAAGTTTAAGTTGGAGCTCGCTCTTGTAGATTTGATCTTGACACCTTCATCACCACTTAACATGTCATGTTTGAGCTCAAACCCATTGTTTAACGGGTGACAAACATCTGGGGTGTTACAATGATGCTTGCATATTTCTTTTGTGGTAGCACGGAGATGATCTTCCTCACGATGTCCGCATCACCTAGTTTTGTTAATCCTATAGAATTGAGCTCATTGATAATTAAATTCAAATGAGAATACATATCACGAACAAGCTCATCATCATTCATTTCAAAAGAATGATAACTTTTAGCAAGCCAGGCAATGTTTTTACTCACGGACATTACTTGTGCCGTCATGGAGCTCCTATAATTTTAACCAAATTTCATGTGTCATCTTTAAAGTGAACACTTGGTTAAACACATCCATGCTAAAAGATTCAAACAAGCAATTTTTAGCTCTAGCATTGAAATGAATTTCTTTTTCTTCACTCTTTGTAGGTTTATTTGGATTCTTAATGGGTTTCATCCCGTCACGAGTGACTCTCCAAACACCCAAATCTACCATCTCAAGGTGACAAGCCATTCTAGCTTTATAGTAGGGGAAGTTAGTGCCGTCAAAGTGCGAAGGCCTAGAGGTATCCATCCCAACCACTCTAAATAGCGTCGGCTCAACGGCGGTGAATCTAAAGGTCCAAATTAAGCCAACCAGCTCTAATACCACTTATAAGGGACCGTGACGCTTAAGGGGGGGTGAATTAGGCAACTTAAAACTCTAACTCTAAAATATGGCCTCTTTTTCTATTCTTAGCAAAAACCTATGCAAAAGATAAACTATCTAAATGTGCAACTATGGTTTTATTAGTGTGTTGCTATCTCTACCGCAAAAAGGAGTTATGCAACCTAGGTTCCAAACCTATCAACTAGCCTATCACTAAGCTAGAAAAGTAAAGCACAAACCAAGATTGCAATGTAAATGCGGAAGCAAAGAGTAAGGTAGAGATATCAAACTCCCGTCGACGACTCTGGTATTTTTACCAAGGTATCGAGAAGTGCGCAAGCTTCCCCCTAGTCCTCGTTGGAGCCTCTCGCAAGGAATCCTTTACAAGGGCCAAGCTCCCGGTCGGGTAACTCCGTGGATAGCCCTGGGCCTTCCCCACGTGCAAGTGGGTCTCTGGTGTGTCTTCCAGCAAGCCTCTCCCAGACCGATCCCCACCGTCTTCACTAACAAGCTTCCGGTCGAACCGCCGCGGTCCTTGTTCCCTTCGGTACACGGTGGCGGCCACACCACAAATGCGGTTGGTGTGATCTCGTAAGACTACAAGCCCCTCCAATGTACAACAATGGTGCGCCCAAGCACGAGTGGTAAGAGGTGTGCAAACCTCACTAAACACTAGGCCTAAACCTAGAGCAAACGCATAAGCGGTGGTCTAACTAACCTAAGCACTTCGCAAAGCACCTACGCTAATCACTAAATGTATCACTAAGCACTATGCAAGTGGAGATCACTAAAATCGTGTATCAACACCCTTGGTATGTTTTCTCAGCTCTCCACATTTTTCTTGGCTGGTTGGAGGCATATTTATACCCCCAAATGAGAGAACTAGCTGTTGGAATCAAAACCAACGTTTCTTCTAGTGACCGGACGCTGAGTCGTCCTGACCGGACACGTCCGGTCTTGCCGACCGTTGGAGCGCACGCATTGATCAGACTCTAGGCCGAGTCCGGTCTCACTCGATCAGACACGTCCGGTCGCACTGGCGCCGCTCTAGAACCTTTCTGGATATGATCGGACGCTACTTCTTGGTGCGTCCGGTCATCCTGCCGTCGTGTTCGGTCACACTGAAAACATTTTTGTGACAAAGAACAGTGTCATCTGTGCATCCGGTCACTGCTTCGATCAGTGTCGGGTCACAGCTGCTGACGCCTGATGTTGTCGAGCAACTGATCAGACGCGTTCGGTCCTCCTAGGACCGCGTCCGGTCACCTCTGTCGAGCTCGTTTCTTCGCGATCTTGCGTTCGGCTTGGTTTCCATCTTTGTGCTTGGACTTTGCTTGATATCTTGGGTCTTCTCTTGTGCTTCTAGGGTCTTGCTTATGGTGTTGATCGTGGGATCATCATGTCGCCTTCGTCCAAGTCATGTCTTGCACCCTATTGAACTACAAAACAATTACTTACAAATTCATTAGTCCAATTTGGTTGTGTTGGTCATCAAACACCAAAATCCAAAGTAAATGGGTCTAGGGTCCATTTTCCTTACAAGCATCTATGACCTAAGGCGATGACGGACCAACAGAGAAGACATTAGGAGGAGCGGTGTATAAGGCTAGCCACGGAGAGCTTGAGCTCGGCGGCGCACCGTGGTCATGGCGGCGACAACGACGTGAAATGTGGCCTCACCTGTGCTTGCCTAGTGGCGCTAGCTGCTTGGGGAGGTAGAGGAGATGATTGTGAAGTTGTGGGTGAGGTGGATTGTGTGGCAGTGCTGCATGGATGGCATGCGAGCACGGCGGAGGTGCATCGGCGACGTTACGGTGCTCCACTTCGCTTTGGCGAGCGCGAGAGAGGCAGAGAGAGGGCGAGAGAGTGAGAATGGGAGGGAGCAGTGGTGTCGCCTCCCTCTTCACTCCCCTTTGGCCTAACCGGCGGGCCCGGCGCCGGCGTACGGCCACCAAGTGGCGGCTGCGGCCTGCGCGTGGTCGGCCACTGCTACGCTGCTGCTGCTTGGTTTTAGGCCGGCGATGGTCGATTGACGAAGCAACTTCAAGCACATGTAACTCATAATCTGTGGTGAATCAATGAAAATGGTATTAGTGAAAGTTGTAGAGCTATTTGAGATCTCCAACTTTGCTTTAAGAAGTATTGCCAAATTCTCACTGGGTTTCAAAATGCAAAGCTCCAAAGTAGGTCATATTGAAACTGAAATCAGCTTGTGACAGCAAATTTTTCTGAGTTTGAAAATAACATTTCATTTTTAATTGTGAGCCCTATTTGACCATTTTAGGCACTGAATTAGCTCATGACCCTTAAATAAAGTTTGTTACTCATGCCAAGAACTACAACTTTTGTTAAGGGTACACTGCCATGCAAACACTCTATGCTATAGTTCAACTTTAGTCAAAGTAGGATCATGAAAAATGACATTTTGAGTAAACTAGGACTTAGAAGCAAAATTGGCCCGTGTCATGAATACAAACATTGTTCTATTTACCATCTTAGATATGCCTAAGGTGTTTTTGTGACCTCACAACCATTTCTCACATTGGTCACACATGATCTCAAGCATATGTAAGTATATAAGCAACATCACATGTGATAAAGAGAAGGCGAATGAAATGAAACTTCACATGCTCATGCTCATGAATGCTGGGATGATGCTTGTGCTCATGAAATGCAAGTGCCAAATGCAATGCTTAACACTAGGGTGTCACAGACTCCAATGCGGATTTTGGGGGAAGTATAAGCTTCTCGATATACCAGTAAAAATATTGGAGTCATTAACGGGAATTTATATCTCTATCTCAATTAACCTTCTGCACTTTACATTGTGTATCTAGGTTATGTGCTTATTATTCTAGTTTAGCTTGTTAGGCTACTTTATTTATAGGAGTGGAACCTAGGACACCGGCCACAATGCCTCAGGCAGCAGGCGCCGGTGTGGCCGACCACGAGCTCGTCTGCCCCCACTCAGGCAGCCGTGCCAAGCTCGTCCGCCAAGTGTTGTGCAATGCAAGATAAGAGAGAAAAGGAAAGGAGATGGAGAAAAATAATTAATGATACATTTACATGTGGGTCCCATATATCAATGGATGGAAAAGGGTGAATTTTTTTCTCAATCTGCTGCAGTATACGTCCTCTATCATTATAATCTTGTTTTCTCAGTCTCCTATATATATTAAGATTTTTTTTGAAAAAAACTGGATGTTCAATTTGGTGGACATGCTCTAAACCACTAGTCGGGTGAGAATTCCCTATATATATGTGTGTGAGAGAGAGAGGTGGTTCTGCCACAAGACGTCTCGGCCATGTTATCTTCTCGACTCGGGAATAACATGGACAACCGCCTCAAATTTCCGTTAACACATAGCCTCCTCCTCCTGCTCTGTTACGCTGCTGCTGTAGTGCCAGGTTCCGCTGCGCCGGAGTATAGGAGGAGCCGGGCTCCTGTAACATACTATCCACAGCCAAATGACTTCCCAAATGAGCAGCTTTACCACGCCTACGTTGTCATCCAGCGCTTCAAGAATACCATCACATGCGACCCCAGGCACATAACTTCCTCGTGGATTGGCCATAACATATGCGGTAAGACGACCTACGTTGGCTTTGAGTGTGCAACACTGCCGGGGCATGGCAACAACAACCTCACGGTCACTTCAGTGTCTTTCGATGGCTTTGGCCTCTGTGCGCCGAGGCTCGAAGGCTTCATCGACCAGCTTCCCGATCTTGCCCTCTTCCAAGCTTCCGCCAACAATTTTGGCGGTGACATCCCCAGCCTTGCAGGTCTCGACTACCTTCTAAAGATCCAAATCATCGACGAGTACGCCCAAGCAGATTTTAGTGCCGGCACTCCACAGCGCCCGGATTTCCTCTACCTTTGCCTCAAAGACTTGTTGTGTCGCCTTGAAAACACATTGCATAAGGAAGTCCTTCCCGATTATACAAATGCCAAGGCACTTCTCCTCAACAACAACTTCCAGTCAGGGTCACTTCCAGCAAATCTTGGTTTCTCCAAGTTGAGCTACCTCGCCCTAGCCAACAACAATTTCTCTGGGACAATCCCACCGTCAATCCAGCACCTGCAGGGCTCCCTCCTCGAGATTCTCCTCCTGAACAACCAGCTGTCCGGATGCCTCCCCCACGAGCTAGGCATGCTCACCAACGCTGCCGTGATCGACGCTGGCATGAACCACCTCACCGGCCCGATCCCTTCATCCTTCTCCTGCCTCAGCAGCGTCGAGCAGCTGAACCTGGCCGGGAACCGCCTATATGGAGAGGTGCCCGACGCGCTCTGCAAGCTACCCGCCGGGCCAGCCGGCCGCCTCGCCAACCTCTCTCTGTCCGGCAATTACTTCACCTCCATCGGGCCCGCGTGCGCCGCAATGATCAAGGACGGCGTCCTCGACGTGAACAAGAACTGCATTCCTGGCCTCGACAACCAGAGGCGACCGGTGGAGTGTGCGGCGTTCCTAAGCCAGCCGAAGACGATGTGCCGGGCCTCGAGTACTCAGGTGAAATGCCCCGCCGCAGCTTCCCAGAACGCGGCGGCACGGGGGAACAGGAAGGCCAGGGACTACTACAGCTACGTGACGTACGCTACTCTGCATGGGTGAGCTAGCCCCGTCGGCATGCAGTACGAGACACAGTGCCTCGGTGCCATTTTGGCTATTTGCTCTTGTGTATTCATGATCATGTGACAGTACTGTGTGCAGTGTCTTGGTGTGCTTGTGATTGTTAACCTATTTGCTGTGCACATGTCTTGCTATGACATCTAGTTCATCTCATCATTTGTACTGCTACGTCCATTGTGTAAAAAGTATTCTTGGTGTTTAATTAGTAAAGTTGCATCTCTGTCTTTCGACGTTCCATATACTTCACTACTACAGGAATAATTCTAATCAATGGTATTTTGACCTCTGAGTTTCCTAAAACTATTTTGGTGATAATGTATCACTGAAGGTTCTTAATTAATAGAACCCCTGGTGAAATTGATTTTCTTCCATCGGGATGGTTTTCAACAATGGGTTTAACCACCAACCGTTGATAAAAATGGTTGCACCAGCCAACCCATAGAACACTCTAAGAGATGTCACCGAGATGGCAGGCGGCCACCATGTTGTAAGCTGCCCGGGTGAAGCACAACACGTCCAGAGCCCCCGCGCGACTGTCGTTGTCGCACTGGACAGCCTGTTGTCACTCGTTCTCCTCCCTTCTCCTCTCGAGGCTTCCTTGTCGGTGAAGGCAGTCGGCTAAAGGGGCTGACCCACTGGCCTGGGAGCCCCCGAGCCCCTAGAGCCGATGGAGGGATTTGTCCCTTAGAGTCACACCGTGGGTGTGACCTTGTCGGAGGAGTGGGCCACAGTCCTGAGCCCCGTCGGTCGGGGCAGCACCGTGAAGCCCCCGAGCCTTGGGTGCTTGGGGCGCTGCATTCCTGCCTAGCCCTTGGCTGGATCAGGAGCTTGGGGCTCAGGAGGGCCCCTGAGTCCCGAGCAGGGGCTGGGGCATGCTCGGGTTTTGCCCGATCCTTTGGCCAGAGGGTGCGTGCGAGCGTACCTAATGGGTATAGACCCCGAGCCCTCGAGCGATCCAAGGGGATCGGTCGGGGGGGTCCTTCGTTTAGGAACTTATAACCCTAGGACTTAACATATCCCTATGTTTTTGTCTTGTTAGGAGCCCCCGAGCCCTTCGTGGCCTTGCAGTTCAGGTTTGCGATGGCGACGAGGGGCTGAGTCCAATCTTTCACGATTGGGTCAATCGAGGTTCCCCCCCCGATGTCGATCGATGCCCCTTGAAGGGCCTCCAAGAGTGGTCGGAGTGCTAAGCTATCGAGGCCAAGCATTGCTGGCGAGTTGTGCTACTTCAGTTTGGGGCCTGAGCGATGGCCCGGCGAGCTCGTCGGGGAGCCGCTGGCCTTAGGCCCGGGGGCGCCCTCCTTTCTGACTTGGCCTACCGTGGGTCGGGGCATCAGGGGAGTCTAGGCCCTGGCTCAGAGCCAATCCGATTGCCTGGCATGAACGCCCTTCTGGGGGCTCAATAGCAGGTCTTGGTGTCTCGGGCCAACTTCAACAGCGTGGGTCGGGGCACAGTGTGCACACCGAGCGTTGATAGGACCCTCGTTGGGCCCGCTGCTCAGTGCCTCCCAACCCAACTCTCCAGAGTAGTTCAGGGGAGCGCCATCGGGCGCTGGTCGGTCGAGGGCCCGAGTTCTCCGTAGGAGGAGTTGGCGCAGCCCTAGAGGGCCGTCATGCGGCCTGCTTGCCAGTTGGCGGGGTGGTTTCTCCATGCGCCCCTCCCTCTGATGCCTTGTGCAGGCGGTTGCTGGCGCCTAGACTGCAGCACTGGTTGGAGGAGTTAAGGCGGGCGGCTCCTGCACCGTCCCGCTATTGACAGTCGCTATAGCAAAAATAAACCATCAACTTTACCTTCTCGAACCCTTAATATCAAACATCACCATAGGTTTAGAAGCTTTAAACTAAGGAATTCCACAAGTTTTGGTGAATATTTGCATGCAGGTCAATTTAACCATTCTACGGGCCAAAGTGGGCCATAATATGTCAAGTAATTTAGATGATCTGCAATAGAATCAACTCAAAAGGCCTCAAGACCATTATCCAAGACAAACTGCCAAAGATCAAGGCGAGAGGATGACAGGGGGGTCGGCCAACCACACCACTAGGTCGGCCAACCTGTGGGCTCCACTTGTCTGGCTCCCCTTTGACGTGGAGCCTCCACCGCCTTTGAGGATCAATCTCCACCGTGCTTCCATGTTAGTTCAAATCGAGGGACGAGATGAAGCCGTGATGCGGATCGATGACATGGCACTAACTTGCTCCCTACTCCATCTCCCCTATAAAAGGACCCCCCAGACCCCCTCTAGAAGGCATATCGCAATTGAAGAGAAGAATAGTTCTCTATATTAGGATCTATTCTTTGTACATAGAAAATAGTGAGTTAGAGAGTGAGGGAAGAGTTTGGAGGAAGTGCCGGATTTGTCGGTGCTACTTCTACGACTTGTACCTTGGCGGATTCAAGTTCTCTTCTAGCCTATATTTAAGATAACTCTAGTAATTGATTTATGATTTAAAGTAGTTTTGTGCTTTCATGTTCATTAGGATAACAACTTGTTTGAGTGCTTTAAACTTTTCTAGAGGGATTAAAGTAGTAATCGTTAGTTTAAGCGTGGTTCTTAGACTCTTGGTTACTTATGGATGCACCCTGCACTCTGGAACATGTGGTAGACCATGTAAGTGATAGTACGCTGGTCCTTTGTAACCCACCTCCCGTTTGTTGGACTAGCAGGACCCAGTTGCGACGGAAGAAGCATATTTAGCTATACTCTTCTTTAGTAATGTCCCTTGGTGAACACTAGAATACAACGCTAACTTAAGTTAGAAGTTAAAAGCTTTAGAAGTCCTCTCTTCCTATTTATCCTAACCTTGTTGTTATCCCTGGTTAAGTTTGACTCTAGTTAATCTCATATGTTTCCCTGTGGATACGATACTTGGAATACTCTGGGTGAAAAGCTACTACGATATCCGTGCGCTTACGGATTTTTCAGCATACACCCATAGGTGTCAACACTCGCTGTCGATGTTTGACCACCGATAGCCTGCCACGGAGGTCCCCGGGGCAATATGTTCGGGCTTCAGCGTATGTGGAACTCGACGGTGAACGCAAGAGACAGTCGATTTATCCTGGTTCGGACCCTCGATTGTGATCGAGTAATAGCCCTACGACCAGTCGGTGTTAGCCTTTGCGTTGTATTGATTGTCTGGAGTTGTGTTGTTGTGTTGTGTCAAAAGTCCCTCTTTCCGCTAGGAACCCTGCCCTCCTTTATACAGTTCAGGAGGTCAGAGTCCTAGTCGGTTTATAATGAGAGTTCCTAGTAGGATTACAGAATAATACTACTACTAGGATTACATGAAAGGAAACCTAGTTAGACTAGATCTTCTCTCTTCCTTGTGGGGTATCCCGTGGGTCCCGCATCGACAAGCCCCCGAGCACTTCATGGTTGAGCTCTGGAAGCCTCGTCTTGTTCCTTCAGGTCTTGCCGAGTAGAAACAAGCGTTGTCCGAGTGCTTTCTTGAGTAAAACCATGTAGCGCTTTCTGGGATCTTCGAGTGATGCGTGCCTTTTGAAGAAAAAAGTGCATCCAGCTAGGTGTAGCCCCTGAGCCTCTTGCTATTTGGAACAAGTAGCTAGAGGGTCATGTCTTGGAGTTGCTCTGATCCTTCGCCGAAGAGTAGCCGAGTATACCCGGGTTCTTTATAAAAAAGAACTCGGATATATCGTGAGGTCTTGAAGTAGTGTGTCTTGAATAAGTCTTCTTGGTGACGTGCACTTTTTTGAAGAAAAAAAAGTGCACTCACTGAGTGTAGCCCTCAAGCCTCTTGCTATTTGGAACAAAAAGTTAGAGGGTCTTGAATCCTATGTTGTTTTACAACTCTTGTCTTAAAGAAGTCTTTTAAGTGATGTGCGCTTTTTTGAAGAAAAAGTGCACTCACTGAGTGTAGCCCCCGAGCCTCTTGCTATTTGGAATAAAGAGTTGGAGGGTCTTGAATCTGAGTTGTTCAAAGAACTAAAAACTTCCCTTGATGTAGCCCCCGAGCATTCTTCAAAAAAGAACTCGGATATAGAATCTTGGCATATTCTCTGGTAGTCTGCTGTTGTCAGATGTAGAGTCTGCTGCTTTTAGATGTAGAGTCTGCTGCTTTCAGATGTAGAGTCTGCTGTTCTCAGATGTAGTTGTATGGTGGTGGTTGAGTGTAAATGCCTTTTGTTCATGGGTTGTACAGTGTTGGTATATTCTCCCGAATATGCTTGTTGTTGAGTATTGTTCCTTCATTCCTGAGTTTTCTTTCATTGAATTCTGTCTTTTCACCGTGTCCTTTGTTAGGTTTGTTCCGCTGGTGCTCCCGGTCCATGTGCACCGCTTCTGTGGTCTATAAATATCCTCCTTGTGTGTTGTTTTGATTCATCGAGCACTTAGTTGTGTGGTCTGAAATCTCCGTAGTCATGAATATGATAGTTTGTGAAGTAGAGCAGCCCCCGGGCGTATTTTGTAGTTCTTGTACATCTTGTCATAGCTGGAGGAAGTCTTGTGATAGGGATTAGAGGTAGACTAATTCCGCAGTGGCATTGCTCCGGGAAGTACGTGGCGGTAGCTGGAGGAAGTCTTGTGATGTGGGATACGTTCCTTCATCCAACAGTTCTAGGTTGATCCTCGACGCCTGCCCTAAGACTGTCCGGTGCAGATCAACACCATATCCGGTATCACATCAGACTTGGGTAAACAGATGCCTGCAGGCTCCTCTTGTTCCATGTTGTCCCACCATGCCGCTGATCTCCGCCTTGGATGTGCTGCTTTCCTCCTTTGAAGAATACAGTGTAGCCGAGTGCGGTTTGTTCTACCGAGTAGCAACTTGGAACACGTAGTCGTTCTAGAGCCTAGTTGTTTCCGGGTTCCTTTTTGCTACCTTGCCTATCATAGTACCGAGTTCGTTGGGTCTTGTAAGATGTGTAATCTTGTATCTTTTGAAGTCATTTGTAATGGAAAGAATCTTGTCTTCTGAGTTGTCATTCTTTATTCTGCTAATGTCCCTTTTATTTGTGA